AATTTCACAGATATATTTTTATTTTTAGGTACATTAATAAATCAAATAAATATTAATGATGCATTGAATAAAAAATGCACTTTTGAATTTCTCTCACCTCCTTATCAGTTTTAAATTTTTTAACAACTCCGTTATTAATCTTTTCCCCAATAATACTGCTCAACTGTGAGCTGGCATGCGCCTTCTGATTGGCACTGGGCTGTTGCTGTACAGCAATGGACATTGGTGTTAACCTGGTGCTGGATTTTGACCTGCCCCTATCACTATCGCCACTCCTCTCGGCCAGTCTGTCACTCAAATTAGCAAGGCGATCAGCGAGATAAGGAGAAGATACCGTTGACTCGACCATACCATCGAGTATATCATCATTCTCCATCTCTCGTTTTGCCAATTGCCACTCCATCTCGATTCTCCTCCTGTCACCCTCCCTCTTCTCAGCCTCTTTTCGATGCCTGTACTGATCCCGTTGCAGCATGGCTTTGGTCTCCTGCTCAAATCGCCTGATTCTCTCCTGAGTGGTGGCACTCAGTCCTGCGTACGTCCTGATTACCTCGTCATTTCCACTCTGTTTCGTCTCGTTGGAGGCATTAGATATCGTTGATACAGTGTCAAGGCTACCTGAGCTCACTTCAGGCAGTCTCGGTGAGTCTAAGCTCGAAGATGTCGTCGAGAATTGCTGCTGAGAGCGACTTGATATCGTACCGTTCAGGGGACTCGAGTTTGCACTGTTTACCAGGTTATTTCGATCCTGTCGATCTGGTGTGTGATTCGACTGACTCTTTGTCTCATGCATCATCACTATTTCACTTACACTGCACTGACGCTCGTTCAGGGCCATACTCTGACGCACCAGGGGCTCTGGCTCTGATTTCGTCTTTGTCTGGAATTCACCGACGAAATTTTTAATTACATACTAAATTGATGGCTTTTGGGTGGGTTAATTAAAAGCGGTGAGAAGAAACAATTAATTAGATTACTGACCTTCTCCTCTTCGTGCTCTTCACTCTCGTGCTCTTCGTGTCCCTTCCTTCGTCTCTGGATTTTCCTGTTAGCTGCGGATATTATTGAAGATACAATATCCTTAGCTGAGACCATTTCACGCATGCCTGTTAAGGGTGCAATGAAATAAATAAAAAAAACTAAAAGCGGACGAAATTAATATAATTGATGAGGTGAATAGATGAGGGTGGACTGACGATGCTGACTAATTTAAATAATAAAAAACTTGGGAAAAATGGGATTTTCTACATCTAATTCGTCTGAAATTCTAACGAATCTAATAATTCACGTGGCGAACTACCTTCAACTTTTTGGATATTATTCAACAACAAACTGTGATTGTTGGATGCTTCGACTTCGCTTCCATCCGCTGGGAGACTCAGGTTAACGCTTAATCTGCTCAAGTCGTCTAAGTCTTCTTCACAGAAGAACCAATCGACCTGTAGATAAAATGAAGGAAATATTGAAATATCAGCAACCAATATAAAAAAATAAAAATACCCACATTGTTCAATAAGCTCTCAACAATCCTGCATTGATGCGACATATCAGTGACCATAGTAACCATATTATCCCTGGAGCCGCTGGCCCTGACGAGAGTGGGCCCAAAAACAATGGCCAAATTTTTCGCCTCCATTTTATTAATCTCACTGTGTTCAACAACTCGTTTCAAATGAAACATGAGATACTTGAGTGTCTCAAAGTGATGCTCAGGCAGATCCCTGAGGAGTTTTCGTATCGTAGTCATGCGCCTCTGTGGATCCTCAATTTTATCAGCATCAATGAACATTGGATAGAGATCAGCAGTCAGAAGGGAATCAGGTAGCTGGCGAAAGAAGGATTTCAGTAGTGATGAGATAACATTGACATCACTCCACCTGGGATCCTGCAAATTAATGCTCTCAAATCCCTTGTTGACACTCTCCGTGAGCTGGGAAATGGCTGCGGTATTTCCTGGCACTCGGTAGATACCAATGACCTCCAGTCCCCTCGCCTCGACGATACTAGTGCACATCTCGACAATCAGGGGAACAAACTCGGAGAACGACGACTGAAAGAGAATAAAGAGAATGGAGCGTTTATTACCCACGAAAAAATTCATTCCCAACAGTTTTTCACGTCCTCCTGAAAGTTTAAGAGACTTACGACTGGGCAAAGTTCCAATGGTACTTTAAAAGTTGCACCCTCGGGTGGCAGTTGGGCTGTGGGCGATGATGGCGAGCCAGCCTGTCCATGCATACGTCTCAACTGCTTGGCAACTCTACCCTTCCAAGTTTTTGATTTTGGCGATGGCAGTGGATCCACCGTTTGACTCGGTTTTCTCGTTTTATTCACTGGTGATTGACCAGTTGGCGATCGATTTCGAAAAGACGTTAGCTTTCTTATTCCCTTGTGACTTGGCAGGGGACTCAGCCTCTGTCCACCCTGTCCAGCACTTGGAGTCGTTGGGCCTGGGGTCTGGGGCACTGCCTGTTGCTTGGATGTACTTGTATTTGCATCCTGCAATTTTTTTTTCAAATAAAAAATAACAATTTGAGAAAATGAAATTAGAGACGCTCTATGGAATTATCAATGAATGTCAATAAATTTTCAATGCTATAAAGCACCGAGAAAATTCACGGTCAGTAACCTTGGCTCATCCGAAAGGAGAAGAATTTCACTCCAAATATGAAAGCGGACATTGTCTTTGGAAAGTAGTAAGAATATGACGTGTCTATTATCTTGAATCACAACCACAATAAATGATTACTACATTTTTTTCATTAGTTTTTGTTTTGAATTCTCGGTAACCGTGTAAATTGTAACAGAAGCGATAAATTGTCATTTACCGATGGTTTTTCAGCTGCTGCGTGTTTGTGCAGAGCCCTCAACCACAATGCCATGGAAGCGGCATCCTCAGTCTGCAGTAGAACTTCCGCCGTGGGATTTGCAACGCGCAATACATGCTTCCGTTTCGTGTAATCATCAGCAACGTCAACGAGGGAACACCTGACGTCAACGTTCTGACCAGCATCGCCGTCGCTCGTTGCTGACGGACTCTGCAATCCCAAGAGAACATTCCATATTACTACACATGCACTCACTAATTATAATCATAATCCATCGACATATTAAATTTCAGGGAATAATCAGATATATGCTAATTATTTCGTGGGGAGTGAATTATTAATTAATTCTCAAATCTGTCGTCTACTGCTATAAATCTCCGTTAATCAATGATTACCCAGGACCCGGTGGAGCTCCATCGGCGTAATCTCCTCCCGAAAAGACCGTGAGTACTAAAATGCAGGGGGATACAGGAGTAGGAACTACTGTCAGCCCCCAGCATACCCTCGGAATCCACTTCACTGTATCTCTCCATCAGAATAATTTTCAATATTCCCTTTGATCTCTTCGCGTTATGTGATTATTCTGGATTTTAATGTTTCATTAACTTCTCCTCACATATCTGAGCGCACTTACACGTCAGTGCTTAGCATTCAACTGCACTCACTGCCTCTAACTCGCCTTCACCGAGTATAACCCAACCAATTCCCCACCCCGGTGCCACTAAAACACTCGCAAAATCATGAAGGAAAAAAAAGAGAATATTGAAGAGGAGAGAAAAAAATTGATGGGACCTTTCACCCAGACACATAAGACTTTAATTTATTATCGGATATTTTTAATGACCCCACGGAACACCTCCAGCATTATTCTATAAATCACCCTTACATTTCAACTCTCTGGGCTCGATTTTACGATAAGTTCAGTCTTAATTAAAAATATTTGCGTCATTCGTTCTGATTTTTTTTTTTCATTCTGCACATTCGAAATGATTCTGACAGAAAAATTTTAAATTCGCAATTTTTGGCGGTTCTATTCGAGTTTTTAAGGGTGAACGTAATGAATAAAATAAGGATAAAATATCGGTCTCACAAAACGCAGAGGCAATCTCCTGGGTCTAGGTTGTGGTCTGTGATAAGGCGACCGCTGTTTCCTGTCGATATTGTAATGAAAAAAAAAAGCCGCTTGCTTTTCTCGGTAGAAATATCGCTTTTCGCTCGATTCTCCAATCCACCGAGAGACTCTTCCGATACAACCCAATCGGGAAAGTTCTCCATCCATGAAAGGACAGTGTGAAGTAGCTTTTGTATGAAATCCATCCACAAATGACGGAGATAACGGTCTTTTGAGGAATGCCCAGCAGTGAAACTTTTTCCGCGCTCCCCCCACACGTCATGCGTTGGTCTAGTCTTTTCACTTTCCTATTTTATCTTCAACATCGCGGGAAAATGAGAATGGACAGGTGAGATCAGATTTAATGGAATTGGTTCGTCTGGAGTAGCTGGTGATCGACTCCGATTTTTTCTCATTGAAAGAAAAAAGTAGTCTAACTCAGCAGCTGTTTAAGTGGAAAATCGAGATCGGTCGGCTATTCCAGTTTTGTTAAATATAGATTTATATAAAAAAACAATGGATTTTCGAGGAAACATCCCGAGATGTTTTTTGTCGGAAATTTAATCAGCTACAAAAAAGTCCTCACACTATTTCACGTTGAATCGATAGCTCTCGAGATAAACCAGTCGAACGCACGATTTTTTGAGTTTCATTATTTTCTCTCGGTGAATCATATTTATTCCACGTGAAATTGCACTAGAAAAATTTATAATCGTCCCCAACCGAGTGTAATGAAATGCAAAATGTTCAGGGTCACGTTGGTGCGACAGTATTTGTACGGTGGAGGCAGTGAACGCCTTATTCATACAACGGTTTAATTAATTCCGAGGGACGTATGTACACGTATCGAGCGCGTCCTCGATGGCCATATGAATTGACCGGCGATTGCCGATAGTCGTTCATCGTATTAATACTCGTGGTGCATCTTATCTGGTTTATGTGTCGCCTCCTCGCAACACAATCCACTGTGGGACTAGTCCCGGTGCTAACACCCAAGGAATAAACTACATTTGACAATGAAATTTTACTGGTATATTAAAATACTCTCTTCTCAATTTTTACAACCGTGTAATCAACTGAATAATTTCAAGAGAAACATTTTTTCAATAGGAAGAAATTGGATTTTTTTCAATTATTTATTTATAGCGTTGGAGCTGATTCCACGATTTTTTTAAATTACAAGAGCACTGTTTTTCGTGTCAGCTAGTTTTCTCTGTCAAAAGTAGTTTTTATTGTAGGAGTCGTCATACTTGGGTAAATCCACACTGACTCCAGCGTTTTCTCCACAGTCATTCGCGAAACCGAGAAACTCCGCGAAATCCGTTATTAATTGTTTCAACTAGTGTCGACTAGAGACATTGAGAATAGAATTGACTGATCAAGAATTGAGCAGACAATTGCGCAATTATCAGAATTCATTTTTCAATTCGCTAATTTCATATTCAACACCTGGAAAATTGTCTCGATTCAGCGTTTCACCTCTTGACTATTCAATGATTTATGATTGATATTTCCAATCATCGAGGGTTTAATTGTTCAAGTACCGCGATGGATCACTGGGGATCAATTTCAAAGTTTCATTACGAAGGAAAGGATCTTCGGGAGCAGTGACGGTCACGACTCGAGGGTTTTAGAAAGCGTGAAATGAAAAATATATGATTGTTGCAGTTGATGCACTCGTAGGGGTAATTACACTAGGAAGACTTACCTGACTGTGGCGGTCCTTATAAAAATGGAGAATTGGGCCTCGCAGGACACCCCACACCTGCTTCCAGGATCTGTCCGTCGATCTCTGAAATGAAAAATAATTTGTTATGAATCTCCCCCAACGACTCAGTATTTTTTTGAACAGGAAAAACGGAAATTCGACGAGTAATTGTGAATTACCTTGCCATCCAGAACGGTGAACTTGACGTGGAGTGAACCCTCGCGCTCAATTGGCTCCACGTCCTTGGGTATGGAGCTGCCGTGTGAACTCTGAATGCTATTGCTACAAATCACCAAAACAACGGATAAATTGATAACCATATAATCTGACAGAGGCAAATTAACACGGACATTGACGATAACATTATTAATCATTCAATTATTAATAGGATTAATGGAGTGAAAGATATTGTGCCCCGGGACGTTCCACTCCGATCCCGAGGCTATTTGCGAGATCTCGTTCATTGGAGTTTGCTCGTCATCCTGATAAATTGGTTATTGATATTGATTAATTATCGGCACCGTTAGAGTTTCGATCGTACCCACGTAAACACCAGTATCAAAATCACGATCTCGCTGATGTACTCCTCGTTTCGTTTGGACATTCTGTTTACACATCCATACGAGTAGACAGGCTGCTGTTAGTTTGCGGGGGGAAGAGAAAATTTGAAAACGTGATGGAATTTGCAATTTGTAGCTGCGCATATCTACAGCACAGGAATGGTTCGATTAAACATTATGGTAATCACACATATTTACAACAATCAGGTTATTGCTACGTGATTGTCGAACGCCTTGGAGTGATTCAGAGGGGAAAAATAAATACTATACACATTTTTTTTTTTTTTTCATTTCCGAAGATGCGAATTATTGCGCGTTGCCACTTGTTCACTGGATTTCAACACTTGGAAAAAATCATAAAGACTCGCGTTCATCGGCCCAGGGAAAGTCCAACACTTGTGGTACTTTAACGACTCGTAACGAAGACCAAAACACGGAAAGCAAATAATCACGATTGGTAATCGAAATTACGTCAAGAGCAGTGGCTTTTGAAAAAGAAACTCTCCGAGGCGTCGACTCATCCCCCGGAATTATCAAATATTATTCACAGATAAGAGCGATAAATATCTTAACAAATACGATATGCAATTATTTCGTTATCACTCGTTTACATCGGGTTTCGGCTTTGCATTATGGATAAAACGAGAAAGGAAAAAATTAGATGCCACAAAACATTTGGAGGGAGACATTTGCTGGTGGGTGGTGCCTCACCGATGATTATGACGGTGCGACGAAGCCGACGTTACGTCCTCGAAGATACGAAGCAGTGGCGTTATGTCACTGGGAAATAGTGGCGGTCTCCATCGTTTGTGCGCACTAGAATCATGTACCATTGTTTTATATCCTAAGTACACGTCTCGCGATAATCCCTTCATTCTACAAATTAACCATTGCCCTGAAATACTGCATTAATATTTTTCTCTTTATCCTGACACATCGTCTGAAAATTGGAGCTGAAATACACCACTCCAGGACGAAACGAACGTACGTCGAGCCAACAGTCTTCTACCCTCTGGCAACTGAATTGAAAATTCGAAAAGATAAATTTAGTATTCACCTTCTGATGGCTTGGGTGACTGGTTCAGAATCGCTGAGTTCTAGGTCACTGTCCACATGCATCCGCTCGCCCCAGGTGGCTTTGAGATAAGAGACTCGTCTCGTCGCACGATCCTCATCGCCTAATGCAACAAATGAGAGAAAATCGATTTAAAAGGATGCATTGGTCATGGGAAAATTATGATATCAGGCTATCACGCCCCTGATTGATGCCTCTGGGGCTGAAGGAAGTGAAGTACTCACTGATTTGAGTGTTTTTCTGTCGCCTCAGCACCACCCCATTCGTTGCATTACTGCCTGGAGCTGTGAACATTAAATAATAAATAACATTGTGCACGATTGATACTTCCAGGGTAAATTAAATTAATAGGTAACACCATGCCGTTCACCAATGAGTGCCAACACCTGTGTTATTACAGCATCAAGCTTCATTATAAATGCTAAGTCCATGTGGCATTCCACAGCCCTGGGGTACGTAATCGAGTGCATAACAACACTATTACTATTTCATCGCACTCATTTGAGGGGAATTTATGTGGTCTATCATTTCTTCAATATTCTATCATCATCGTCCACTTTTTCGTCACTGTTGTCCTTTCGTAATGTCACAATTGCCTCTTTATGTTAGTGAATTTAATTTTAGAGAATAATTTTCTTCGTAAGGGATTGAAAAAGCAGAAGAGGTCATGGGATTTTTTTTCTTCTCTTTTTGCACTTGAATGAATTGAGTTCTTTGTGGTTTAAAAAAATGTTCGAGTGTTTAGGCAGTTAAAACGATAGCGGTTAATGAATTAGTCTGTTTAGTCATCTTTCTCTTGATTTTTCTGACCTAGAAGCCCATTTGTTTGGTGATCGTTGTTGAGCTCTTCCGATGAATCTAAAGGACGCAGTGGATTTGGAATGGAAAGCTGATTGGGCCGTACTGGCTGGGGTGGACTAATTGTAACACTGGGCAGAGTCACTTGACCCTCACCACTCGTTACATTATCCAGGATCGTTGTTGAAAATAGTGGAGCACTTGACATGTCAGTTATCTGCCTCTCATCCTCTCGCCCCTTGTCCTGTGGCTCTCTCTCTAATATTTTTTTTTCACCATTTCATTTTCACGAAATAATTTTCGGAGTATTCTCGTAAACCATGCAATAAACCCGTGATTTAAAACGTCGAGAGATGCAGGAATGTCGCGAGAATTTCAGTTAAAATGTAATGAGAGAAGTCGGGAATATGAGTTACCATGAAAGCCCAGGAAAAAAAATTCTTTACGATATTTCTAGTGTCTCGTAAATACTTGAATTCCGTACACATTAATTCATTAATGTTTTGGACACTTATTAATGAGATAATTTAACCAGCTAATGCGATGCTTTTATCAGACATATTTTTACTTAATTTCTCTCTAATCCTTCCCCCCTGTAGGTATAACTTCAAAATAAAAATTTAAATATCAGGATTTGTCCGTGAATTTTTATGAAAAAAATAATGAACAAGGGGACTGGAGGATCGGAGAGAAAAAAAAGATTTTACGATATGCCACTTGAGTCTTTATATCCCTTTATAAATCCATTTTCGCTACCTCTTCTCTTCTATTTTCCATCCGTTAAAACTCGTTCGGTGTCAAATAAGTGTAAATAAATGAAAAGATGAAAAAGTAATATAAATAGTAAAGTGAAAATAAAAAGTTAAATTGGATAAGAAAATTCTTGGTGGACTAACCGAGCTGACTTCTAACAGCCTGAAGATAGCTGTCCTGTCTCTTTGCTTTGCTGTTTCGTGCCTCAGTCTCCAGATCCTCTGGCTCATTCTGCCAGGTATGCCTGACGCCTCGTCGGGTCGTTCCACCGTTCACAGCCTCCCAGGATTCAGCACTATTGCTTCTCGCTCGCAGTCTAACCGGTTCCATCTCCACACCTTGCTCATCTGACGACAGATATATATGTATTAACCATTGTAACATGAATTTATGATTTAATTGAAAAACATATCTCTATTCCTCGATTCATATTCGATACACTCCATCAATCATATCGAAAACACTTGTTATTTTACAAATGTGCACAGTCATCGCACGCGGAGATGTTCATTTTATTCAAGCGAGCCTTTTATTATTGTTATTATTATTTTAATTATTCAAATGAAAAAAATCTACGCACACTGCTAAAAATAACTGAATTTTCCAAAACCTGAAAATTCTGTGGAATTTTTCAAATAATTTATGGCAATACTGGCAATAATTCTCGGTGGAGGAAAATTTATTCGTTATCGTCTGCAGAAAAAAATTGCAACATTTTTTTACTGCGAATTTTATCTTGCGAGAGTCAAACAAACTTTCCCACATTCAATGAGAACAACAGTGACATGTGTTACTGTAAATAATAAGAAGCTGAACAACTCGAGGCACTCTAAATCTTGCTGATGACACTGCGAGACACACGATTTTACTCTCTGAGGATTACTACCTGGAAACTGTGAATAGGAGGACGGAGGCTCGCAGTGGATGTATTTGCTGCCTACGGGAATTATTCGATTCCCCGATAATCCTCTGCCTAGATATTTTTTTTCTACATCGCATGGAAGAAAAACATTATTATGATTCATGAGAGTGGGTGGAGGTAATCGTGATAAATGACCAGAAATTTTCGAAAAAACTTTTGAACGAGAGTCATTGAAAATTCCGTATGCAAGTGGTGGATAAATCAATTCCGCCGAGACTTTAAATTGATTTATCCCACTTTAAAACCCTTTCTATCAGAGACCAATAATTTATTTTCAAAAATGGCATCCATTTTTTTATAGCCAATTAATTTTTATTTTTAATTCACCTTTCATAAATAAATCGATATTTATTGAATTTATAAAAATCCTCACCTGAATCGAGTGACTTGCTCTCCCGATGATTCGCCCTCCTGCCCTCAACCCCCTCAGCCTTGGACTCGAACTCTCTCTTCCTAACAGCGACATTAGGTACACTCCTCTTATTAGAAAGCCTGGACAATTCACTCTTATAAAGATTGGTACGATCGCTGGTGGGTTCATCATCATCACTGAGAAGTCTTCCCGACTCGAACTGTTTAGCCCTTCTCGACACAATTTGCAATCCCTGAGGTACAGGGAACTTCTCCTGCTTTTTGTCAGGTCCAGGAGAAGAGGGTAAAGAGGAGGTGCCATTCCTGACATCCTGTCCTTGTCCCACATTCTCATGTATCCTGGAGAGAGTCGTCACAAAGCACTTGTTGTTCCCCTTGTCACCCTTGCCAAACGAGAAATGATTCTCCTTGACGAATTGTCCATTAGCATCACAGAGGGACGAATAAAACCTGTCCCTGATGGCCTGAGCATCCTCAACCACTCCATTCTCTCTGCCCTCCCTACTCTCCCTCTCCTCTCCCTCGCCCTCGATATCCCTGACCCTCTGGACATTTTGATTACCAGGTTTACCATTTTTAATTCCCCCTTTATTAGCATTCAGATCGCTCTGCTCGTTGGGTGGCCACACTTGCCTCTGGAGTTTCTGAGGTCTCGCATAAAACTCCCTCTGCACCCCCTGATTCTGATTCTGATTCTGATTTAACCTGGAGGCCTCATCCGGCAACAGCCAGCCAATGGGATGACTCGGTCGCCTGAGGAACTCTTCCTTCTGCTCGAAGCTCTTCCTGAGTCTCGTCATTATGACAGAGTCGTCTGAGCACTCGTTTCCAGTTAACGTGGAATTCGAGTCATACGAGGAGAGACTGCTGTCTTTACTGGCTGGTGATGAGTCCCGCCTGGAGTCTATACTAAGTCGAGAGGATTCATTTGAGACCTCGTGATCGGTTGGGGGGCCACTGCCCTCACTAGCCCTTCGTGTCACGACTCTTCTGCCCGGCCGATAAATTGGCACTTGTGGCTCAGCTCTGGACACTGGGTACTGGTGATCCAAGGATTTGCTGAAGGTACCAGTCAGGTCTGGTCGGACTCTTTCGTAGATGGGGTCCTTGATCCTGTCGTAGATCTGCTCGCTGCTGGGGCGAGAGTAGATCGACTCTGGACGCGTTCGATCGTACAGGTCAAAACGACTCTCTGGATTACGATAGGTGTCGTCCTGCTGGAGGGAGCGACGTTGGGAGCGATCGTCCTGACGGTAATCCTGATTTCGTGCCTCTGTCAGGGGGCGACGTTGCACATTCGGCACTGACGTCATCTTCACAGCTGGCTGATCTTTGAAGGCCTCTTGGGAACGATAAGCACCTGTTCCCTGATTCTCCGAGCCCGGGGGCGAACACACCCAGGACTGGCGAGAACGCGGTGAGGGGCCTGGAATCATGCTCATCGATCTTCGTTGCTTCTGGAGTACTCGCTCCGGGGAACGGAAACGACCTGGACGCTGGTTTGTCTCCGGATTGTGAGCTGTTTCACCGAAGTACTGGAAAATTCAAGGGAGTGGGTCACACCGCTATTTTTTTTTTTTTTTGGAATTCAAGACTCGTTGTGGAAATTGAAGGGAAAATTTTATGGAATTTTTAATGCACACATTCTTGGGTGGATTAATCAAGTTATTAATTACCCTTTGCAAAATATCGTCCTCCTTGGCAACAACGAGCAATCTCAGCCAAGGTCCCGCTTGTTGTATCCTCTGTACAACACTGGCGTACTGTTCCCCTCTAGTCGGTACACCGTCCACAGATACAACTCTATCACCAGTACGCAAACCCGCTTCAGCAGCTGGTGAATTACCACGCACTTGTTTCACGAAGATGGTGTCCATGGGCTCGTCGATCTTCGTCCGCTCGTGTCCCGGCAACATCTTCACGGGAATAATCATGAATAACCGGAATATTTATTGAAATGTTTTGTAATTGAGAAAAGCCGAATGTCGATTTATTCTTTTTAACCGTTTGTTAGTCAATTGATTGATCAATCTCGTGTGATTAGTAGATTGGATAACTTACGCAACAGGACTCGGGCGGATATACGATGAAGTGACGTAGGGTAAATCCAAAGCCATTTTCGCTGCGTCTCAGTAACAGAGTTCGTGGACCACGTGGAGGTGAGCTCAGAGTGCCCGAGGATGGTGCCGGTGGTGGTGGTGAAGCGTGTCCAACCTGAGGAGCGATAAAAGATCATAAAAAAAAATGCACAATGTACGGAATTCAAACGAGTATTTGATGGACTGCAAAATTAATTGGAGGATTACTATGAAAATATCGCGGGGAAAAAGAAATTGAGGGGAAAATGTCAGAGGATATTCCAGACATCTGGATGATTGAGTGGAAAAAAAAATTTTTTTTCCTTCCAGGAAAAATCTCGTGATTGCACGGCGGGAGAAAAAAAAAATAGTGAAAATTATTGAAAGCTAGTTTGGGGGGGAATTTTAATAATCAGTGACATGAAAAATTTAATCAATTGGTGATTCTCTGGACTCGTCAATGAGGCGCGACAATTAAGGTCGGCGAAATAATGGCGGGGCACTGGGGGCACGATGGAAGCGCGTGGTACAGTTTAGAATGTTATCTAACACTCAAAGTGTATGTTAATATCAACCGGACGGAAATGATGGGATGCTGAATTATACTCTTTGGCAAGGTGACATCCCAGGCACGCGATCTTTCGCACTGTATGCGCACATCCGCCGTCGATTTGTTTCAATTTAAAATCCAACGAAACACCAAGTTCAACCGGAAATGAACGATTTCTGTTCGCAACTCGTTACGAAAAAATAATTCAGGAGCTGAAGGATAAAGGGGAATGAAATTGAAACTCAATACCTTTTTTTGCAATTGAGTTGCACATTTCTATTGATTTTTTCTAATGAAAAAAATCTAATTCTAACGAACAGTATGGGACTACCTAGAAAAAAAACAGAGGAAGCCAAGAAAAATACCAATTAAAATTCCATTATCACGTCTGCAGGAGCATGAGATGAATCCCCCGGTTACAATCTCTGCGTAATAATTTTAATGGCCCCGGGGTATATTACAGTAGTACGAGAATAAAAAAAAAAGGCAGAAGTAGAAATAAATGCGTATATCCTGCAAAAGTCTGCAAGAACTTCACCAATGCCCACGGGTTTGCACTGTACGTGTATATACTGTCTCTACGACCAGAACAACCGGCTTCTTATTTCTCCACCCTCCTCATTCTTTTTTATTTATTTTTATTTCACTTCTGCCTCTTTTCCAAACTCTTTTTTAGTCGGTTTGGTCGTTCTGTTCTGTATATACACCGACGGTTTATATTTAGAAACACCACGAGTATCCTTGCACCGGTGTCGGTGTACTCGTAATCCCAGGGTACACGAACCCCTGGAGGAAGGTGTAAAAGGGCTTGGGATGGAGTTCGAGGCGTGATTCAAAGTGTCTCTGATCGATTTATGATTCAAGACACTCGAGATTATTTTTCACGTCGTAAATCATTTATTTCGGTTTGCGTGGGAATATTACCAAATGCATTATTTTACAAAACCGCGATAAAAATTCCAACGACTTTAACAATCTACAAAACTGAGAATAAATTTATATTTAATATTTTCCTCAATCCCATAAAATTAAAAATTATGAAATGTCAGTTGTCATGAAAAAATAAAAACTAGAAAAACAATGGTTAATATTCCGTTCTCATTCGCGAGGAGGAATTTATAAATAATTTTTTTTTCGACGATTGCAGTAACAGGGGCACCCTTCAACTTTAGATGCTGATAACTGACGGGCGTTGACAGTCTAGGCGTTCTAAACTGACAGCGAGCATTCCGGTCTTGAATTTCAACTGGGACACGATTTAAACAACAGTTTCCCAATTCCTCGTTTCCTATCCCCCGGGAGAAGCCGACTGACGTCGAGCATGCGATATGTTGATATTATTCTTGGCAGCATGACAGCAAGAAAAATTGCCAGGTGCAGAGGGAATTGAGACAGAGACCCGATCATTATCGACACATTCACCGAGAAAAAATATCTGCCAAATGCCCATTAACTCCATCCCAAAAAACCCAAATTACCTCGTAATTACGACGATTATGTCAGCTCCCATTCATTATTAATTTATGAATAATATAATTATTATATTGTTGTATGACTCAGGGTGGAAAATTTAGATAGGAAAATTTGAAGTGAAAATTTGAGTGTCATACATAAAAAAATGTGAATGCATTGGATTTGTAATGGCGAATTAATAACGGTTACTGGTAAATCGTGATTTGACGAGTTGCCAGGATAGCCGAAAGATGCATGGAAAACGCTCGAGTGGGCACAGACTTGGAAGCTGTCAACGAGTTTATTATGTAGCTGTCTTTAACATATTGCTCGGGTTGTTGTTAGCCTCCGGGTCGTCTCTTACTCGAAGGAAATGGCCATACGGTAAAACGCACTTCTTCAATGCACCTCCTGTTTTCAAACCCATATATCTGACCAATCCATAACTCCCTTGCCCCCTATTCCACAATTATTCAACGAAACCTCCATCACCCATTCCGTAACAGTCATGAGGTGACTAACGTTACGTACGTTACGTACATTTATGTGAAAAACCGTCGGCCAACAACCAATCCATTCAACGTGATATACGAAGCACATCATACTTCAGAAATTCTCATTACTTCTGTCTTACTTTGTTGTATTGTCCATATATTCGAATATAAATGTAGAATATCGATAAATATCTGGTGGATCATGGGTGTGGGAGGTTTACGAGGGTATGATAAATATCGTTAAGGAATATTGCACTGCATCCCATTCAAAGGTGACGAGAAATCATTGAAAGATTGAGATTAGCGATCGATATAAAATATTTATGACCCCCATCATCAATCAATCAATCATCATCATCATCATCAATTTGGGAATTAGCCCTAGCCATAATGAAAAAAAATCTATTTTTATTTCACAATTAAATTCAATTTTTTTTTGGGCGGATAGAAAGGTCCGCTACTCAGAAATCACGAGTTTTCCCGAGAATTTTGAGAAAAAAACATTTTTATCGATTTAAAAAAAATATATATTTTCATCGATTTTCGAAAAAAAAATGGATGCTCATCGATTTGCGAAAAAAAAATTATTTTCATGGCTCAATTGAATTCAATATTTTTTTGGATTCATAGAGAGGTCCGCTACTTGGAACTCACGAGTTTTCCCGAAAATTTTGAGAAAAAAACATTTTTATCGATTGTCAAAAAAAAAACATTTTCATCGATTTTCGAAAAAAATGGATTTTCATCGATTTTTGAAAAAAAAAATTATTTTCATCGCTCAATTGAATTCAATATTTTTTTGGACTCATAGAGATTTTTTTTTTTCAAAAAAAAATCATTTTTATCGATTTTGAAAAAAAAAATATTTTCTTCGATTTTCAAAAAAATGGATGTTCATCGATTTTTGAAAAAAAAATTATTTTGATTTCTCAATTGAATTAAATGTTTTTTTGGACTCATAGAAAGGTCGACTACTTGGAACTCATGAGTTTTCCCAAAAATTTTCAGTATGGAAGATACCCATCGAGCCAAAATGGGGCAATTCACTATAAATTCGCAGTTCGTACTCCAGTAAAGGGGTCGGGAATTTGCAATGATAAAAATATTGAAGAGTGGTATATTCACGAGCGAATAAAGAAATCATTGAACTTGTTTCCCCATGCCTACCGAGCAGCTAAAATAAATTTAACGCTCAAAACGTGGTATTTTACGATTGAGTGAGTAAGTGAGGTATGAAAACCCATAACACTACAAACAACGCAGTTAACACCGAGTGAAAGAAAACAAAACGTCAAATAATGGTAGGTAGAAACACGAGTGAGGTGTCAAGGACTAAAAGTGATGCTTAAATCGCGCCATTGGCGTTGAACAGTTAACGAGCGAATTGTCGATTGTTCGGATAGAGTTGAACCTTTTTCTCAAGAAACCTGAGAGAGCCCACCGCAGCCACTCTAATCACATCAGCAATCTCAGGCACGACTGCTATTCCAATTGCTCCTCAATTCATCACCGACAATAAAAAAATTCAAACCGATGACATTTCATTGCACTGCATTTAGAGCTCACCATGAAAATATCATTGCACAATCTAGATGAGGCACTGCAATGAGCTATTCCACTACCGTGTACATAGGTGATTGCTAATAATAGCTACCAACGGGAGATGATAGCATCGATCCGAGGGGTGAGGTGAAAGAAAAATGAGAGAGGAACTGGTCCGTTATATCTCTCCTCCTGGTTGAATGGTGGGGCCAGATGGTTTCAATCACTTGACGTGAAATGTTTGCTGAGAATCCGATAGCCCAGTGTACTAACAATTCTCCATTGGTAACTATTCGTTGAACATTTGTGTTGGCGATGGGAAGATGGGAAGACCCCTGGACCAGAGCCACGGGTTTATCTCACCTCCTGCTAAATTCACGTAGTGATTTTGTTATTGCCCGGGCACACCGATAAACTCCTCGAAAATATATAAAATATAAACACCATTTGAGAGAAAAATATGAGAAGACGAGATTCGCCAATAATTCCGCATAAAATCCACAAAACAATGAACAAGACTATCTCCCCTCGTTAAAACTAGTGTATTTTCAATGGAAATTGTCGTCCATATCGAAGTTGAATCTTAATTGCTAAAAATTATCACTCGCCAACGATAACAGCAGTTAACAATCTCAACCATTGATATTGCAAAACGGTATTTATCGATTTTGCTCGGAATGACGAGATTCTATGGTCGTTATCGAGCTGTTCCATCGAATTTCAATTCTCTATTCTATTTGAAATAACATCCGGTTTAGCAGTACGGAGTGATAATGATCAGGGTGAAACTGTACTCGCGAAAATGAAAGGAAGAGGAGTGACATGTAATATGATACTGGATTTCTCCATTTTAAAAACATACAAATCCACCAGAGGCATGTGGTGACGCGCAATTAACGTCGACTCGCGAATACCTGTAAATATTTGCAATACAAACTTATATCTCTCTTTTTTCCCGCTATTTTTCATTCATTAACTTTTGTATTGGGTTTAGTGAAACCCGACCCCTGTCGAGGCTTCGGTAATTTCCCTTATTTAACTTTCAATTTTTTTTTATTGTCTGACTTCTGGGGATTTAACTACTGAGCACGTGTAGTC